CCCGACACTATCAATCGGGATGGCAAATATTGTAAATTCCAATTAAAAATGAAATCACTGCCAAATGCGATTGACTTGTCTTCTGTCCAATCTGTACGGTTGCCTCCAAAGCCGGTCGGATAATTTGGTCGCAGCTGAATTTGATGCTGAATTCGAGGCGAAATGTAAAACGAGGATGACATCTGACCTTTGAAGTGCCGACTGTACCACATGCTTTATGGCTGAGACATTGAAGCCACGATTGAGATGGGCAATTTTAGGCCAAAACCTTCATTTACAGTCGACTCGAGTGAGGCTCGTTACGTATTTTATTGATGGGGTGACACGTGACCTCAGTTTGGTCCACATTCTGACGAAATATCTGGTCCAGAAGAAGGTCAGATATCAGCAATGAAAACAATGCTCACTTTACATTTTGGAAAGTTACAAGTACCTTCTTTGTTGTTCCACATTTCCGACAGGTCCAGGACTGGTGTTCGTCGTGTACGCCGAGGCGATTTCCACCCTCAATGGCTCGACTTTCTGGGCCATCATATTTATGCTGATGCTACTCACTCTTGGACTCGATAGCACGGTACGTTCTCGACGACCAGATCGACTGTCATGGCGAGCAGCAAGTTGAAAAGACTATTCGGACGGACCCAGTTTCTACCACTTGACTGAGTTGAAAGAGAGACCCCAAAAGATGTATCATGTAATGTGTTTTATTGAGTTATGTTCCATTGAACAGAGAGTTAACAAAATATGGCATAAGTCGCAGTAAAATGTGCGATTTTTCAGCTCGCCCTTACGTCACGATCAAGTCGCGAAAGAGAAAGAGAGAGAGATAAAAAATCAGAGCTTTTCTAGCCCAAGTCGCTTAAATGGATTTAAGTAGTATTAGTTGCATTTTATCCACGATCTTATGATTCCATTTAATTGCACACTCAGAATTGCCTCCAAAAGCTTAAACCTCCGCCGAACTCGGCTCATCATCACCCCTGACGGGACTCGACCCCGAGTCGTGGGTGTCGTGGAGACGTGACCACTCCACCAGACAACCGAGAATGCCATACGGTCACCGAGCAAAGAGGACATTGAACACAAATTGCGTCCCACGCAGATCCCATTTTGCCGTGATCCAACCGTAAAATGTCTGTCAGAAGCACAGTGTTACAACTCATCAAAGTGGCATCACTTCTACAACTTTTATGGTTCTAGCTTCCCTTCCACTCAACCCCAATTCATATGACCCATTTATCTATCCTCCTTGAAATATTGCCCAAGAGTACATGACCAATCAGGTCTCGCTCAGATACCATTTTAATATTGGGATAGACCTTTGAGAAGTTAGTAACTGGCCCCAAAGTAGAGTCTGGAGAAGCTACTCAAAACGAAAAAAAAGAGTCCGTGTTTTGTAGTCGAAGCTTGATTTTTACAATCTAATGTATGAGAGTCAAGATGGTGTGACTTCTAGTTCGCTGATCTTGTTTGATTTCCTTGAATTATTTTTATAAATATCAGCAATTCTTTAGTGAAAAATTGGTGAGTTTAGATGACAAAAGGTGATTTAACGACTGATACCGGGCGCGCCTTTGTACGTCACGGTTAACCTCGCTCCAACTTGTCTCATCACAACTCCCAAAACGGGACTCGGAGCCGGGTCGTGAGTATCTGGCGACTTTAGTCTTAAACAACACAGCCACGGGTGCCAGAGGATGACAGGGTAAATGTGACAAACAATGCAAGTCAAGTCTAACTCAAGCCACATTTTATATTTAAACAGTCGACTAAGCAAAAATGTATTTACCATTGCAATAAACAATGCTACTTAATTGCCATATAAGTAGCTCGCCAACATATAATTCCTACTCGTCGGATTATGGAAAGCTACAAATATTAGTCCTCGAATCACCTTATACAATAACTATTGATAATATTAAAAGCTACTTATATGGAAATTAAGTAGCGTTGATAATTGCTCAAGAATTGCTGATATTTTTAAAAATAACTCAAGGAAATCAAACAAGATCGGCGAAATAGAAGCCACACCATCTTGACTCGCATAGACTCGATTGTGAAAACCAAGTTTCGACTACAAAACACGGACTTCTTTTTTTCGTTCTGAGTCGGCTTTCCAGACTTTACTTTGGGGCCAGTTACTAACCTCTCAAAGGTCCATTATATGCCAAGAAAAGCCAGAAATATGTATTCTTAAAAGTTGCATGCAACCGTGGTTTCAGATGCAGAGAGAACCAAGATGATAATCATTTTAAGAGTGACCGGCCATC